GGGGGGGGGAGAACAAAATAAAACCACAGAATAGAATGCATCCCAAGAGAAGAAGATGGCTTTAACTCTAACCGAGGTTTGACAGCTCTGGTTTCATTTCCAAAGCGGGTGGGAGGAAAACCAATGTATGCTCTGCCCAAAGGCAGGTATATTCATGGCACAGTGGAAAAATTTACAGCCAGGAAGTATTGCAAGCTCAGTGCTGTCTTTCAAAAACGCTCCACCTGTTTTAAAAGCAAGCCTGCATCCCCCGACAGCAGGACAAATCTTCTCCCGTCAGAGTTCCCAAACCCTCCTCCCACCGCCCCGCTGGGGCGGCTCCAGAGCTCCCACTGCGCTCAGTCAGAGATCGCACCCTTAAATCCCACCAGTTCAAGCATTTGGTCTCAGGCTTTCTTGATCACAGATTATTTTAAGCGGGCGCTTAACGCCACAGTTGAGTCCCTGTGCCGGTGAGCGGGCTGGTGCATACCAACGGGCCTCTGCCTTCCCCACTCTGCTGCTTGCTCAGATGCAGGAAAGAGGAAAAATCAAACAGGACTCCTTGCCAAAGGGGAATGAAAAAGCTGGTTTTTCCCTTGAAACGATGGGATATGCTTCTGGGTAGAAGGGCTGCATCCTCACGAGGCCATCGGCTCCAGCTGCTCCACCCTGTGGCACCGCAGGCGCTGAGGGACAATGGCTCTGTTGCTGGACTAAACCCCACGCAGCACCCGACAACTGCCCGTGTCAAACACTTCCCTCTCCTCCTTCTGCAGCCAGGACAGCTCTCTTCCCCCCCACTTTGAGGTCTCTCCAGCTCCCAGGGCTACAAAGAGGTGGGTTAGGTCCCCGGACTCCCATTTGCGGCACAGCCCTCCGCAAGAGCCATGGGCACCGGAACGGCACACCCATCAGCGACACCACCAGCCCTGGGACTGACTGATGCCCACTACAGGCCACTTCAGACCCTGCCCTCCTTGCCTCCTGCCCCTGCCCCATTGTCATCACATCCCCCTCCAGCCCTATCGCTTCCCGTGAAGAAGCTCTGGTTTCTCCTTCATCCCGCTTTTCCAGGCACCTCATCTTGCTGCGTGCCCTCCATCGGTGGCTGTTTGCCTTCCTCTAATGGGAGGGCTCACTCAGCCCCACACCAGTACCCCCCCAGCCCACCCTCGCTGGCCACGAGAAGCCCCCTCCTCCCCAGCAGGGACCTTTTCTCTCTCCCTGCCATCCTGATGCCCACATCCCAGCGTATGCCCAGCAAGCCAGCCAGCTCGCCTAGCCCACCAGCACAAGCTGCTCTCCCCAGCAGTATACACTGCTGCAGAGCAGCAAGCTCAGCTCCATTTTCTGTCTCCATCCATTTCCTTCAGCATCCTTGGTCGGCAACGTGCCACTCCCCTCCTGCTCCTCTGCAGCTCTCCAGTCCCACCTCTGCCACATCGGCACAAGGAACCCAGGCAGTGCCATGTCCCCGTGGGGACCACTGGCAGCCCCCTGCCCAGCTCCTTCCCGAGCCTCCTCTCTCTCCTTTCCCCGACTCTTTATTTTCCTGGTGAGGAATTCAGCCCTCAGCCCATGTAACATGGCAGCACCACCAGCCATCGCTGGCCGCAGGCGCTCAGCATCCCACAGAGAGAGGGGACGCATTGCAGCGGGCAGGCTGTGGTGCAGGCAGGGCAGGCAGGGCAGGGGCAGGCAGGGCGGCTAGAGCCCAGCCAGCTCGCTTTGCGTGGGGACAGTCAGCCACCGCCTGCTTAATCCGCCATCGAGAGAAATTCAATAAGCCGCTATCAGCTTTTCCCTGGGAGCAGGCCAGTGCCGCGGCCCCGCTCCCTGCTCCCTCCCTGCCTCCTTCCCAGGAGCCACCCCACACACAAGTGAGGAGGACAGCAGAGTCCCCAGGGCCGTGGTGCCATGGGGGGCATCTGGACCTGTCCCCAACTCTGCAGGGCATCTCTTCCCCCACCATGCTGAGCAGCCTGCTGCGCTCTGCCCAGCCCTGAGGGCACACCCACTAGCCCTCGGTGGTGAGAGAAAGGCCTAGAGAGCAATGATTAACTGGATCAGCTAAGATTAATTGGGCAGAGATCAGCTGACAAGAGCTCTCTTAAGTCTGAGGGCTACTAACCGGCAGCCACCGCTGAGAGGTGACCAGTGGGATGGGCAGCATTGTCCCCAAGTGCCACCCACAGTGAACAGTGAACTCATCCCTAAGGATGCTGCAGCAGACATGCTGTGCTGCCTGCCCCCTGGGTGCCGCAGGACACCGGGGGTGGAGGGATGCTAACACGAGTCGGCACAGCCAGGATACCCCACTGCCTGCGCCCAGCACAGGGTGGGGGCTGCCTCACTGGGGCCGCCGAGGGAAATCCAAGGCGAGTTTCTCCTTTTGTCTGCGTGCATCCCTGTGTCACCTCGGTGGCGAGGGCGGACACCCTGTCTGGCTGTGCCTCCTGAGCCACGATGCTCTCAGCCACCAAAGGGGCTTTGTTTTAATGAGCGCTTCCCCTGCACCCCTTGTTGGGGGGCCCCCAGCTCCACCTGGGACCGCAGGACCCTGCCCTCCCTCTGGGGACAGTGGGGGACCCTGGGGACAGCTGGCCCAGATGACATGGCACCATCTGATGACATGGCTGTCATCTGATGACATGGCTGCCAGCTGAGCCCGGCGGCTGCTCCCTGCTCGCCTCCCACCCCACACAGGGCAAGGGGCCGTGACGGTGCAGTTTTCCCCAGAGCAGCACCCACCAGCAGGGAAACAGCAGGGCAGGGGCCAGTGCCCCGCCCCCCGTTCCCTGGCAGAAATCCAGCCCCCAGCTTCCCCAGTGCCATCATGGGCACCCTGGCCTGTGCCTCCTCACCTCCTGCCCTCCCCAAGGGGGGCGACACAGCTTCAGGGCACTGTTTGGGGGTTCTTGCGTATTTCAATACAGATTAAATTGGCCAGCAGCAGATTTAAGGCCGTGGATGAGGGGGTCTGCTCCCCATCCCTACTATACTCCTTCACCATTCCCTCCATCTCCCTCTCTTCTGCATGCCAAAACCCACCATGGGGAAAAGCTGCACAGACAAGGCAGTGAGCTCTGGCGGAGGGGGAGGTGAGTGGTGGGAGAAACACAGGTCCCGATACCCCCGGCGTTTGGGGGCTGCAGCTACAGCCACACACAGGGAGGCAGGGGGGGGTGGCCGGGT